AATAAATAAATAAATAAATAAATAAACATTTATATAGCGCCATTTTCCACTAATTGTCCATGGCGCTTTACAATACTTTAAAATTAAAGTCCTAAGTTTGAAATCCTAAAATTAAAATCCTAATTCTTTAAAAAACCCCAAATCCTAAATCCTAAAAGTTAAAATCCTAAGAATTAAATACGCTATATAATACAATTAGGTTACAAATAAAAAGTAAAAACTACAAATCAAATGCACGCTTAAAAAGATAAGTCTTAAGATTAGCCTTAAACACTGCCTCTGATGATGAAAGTCCGATCTGGAGGGGTAGTTTGTTCCAGAGCCCTGGTGCCGCCACGGCCCTTTCACCATACGTGATCTATTACTGAACAGACGCACGGCAACATGGAATCTATTCGTTAAATTGACAATGAATGTCGCTGTGGATCCGCAGACTACTTTGACAATGTTATGACAAAATTCATTGTCAATAACAGGACAGACGCATGAAATGCTGACTTCACATGATTTGTTAAATAAAGTAGTAAAGCTACTTCAGAAAAACGATTGTTCTCTCTACTTTCTTTTTTCCTGTTATATCTTTTTGAACCTGTTTTGCTATTGCACTGTTGCAGACACTGGACCCGATTACACCGAACTAAAAACGTTATTAAAACCTTGATCAAGTGAGTCGCAGAAAAACTAAAAGCCTTTCTTGAAATACGTTCTCGCATTTTGCATCGTGATAACTTAAAAGCTGTCAGCAAAAATAACTGAATAAGTATCCGTCCCTCCGATCTTCACTTCATTTCCCGTGGTTCGTGCGAGGGTCGAGAGCGACGACGACATGGCGGTACATTTCAGGCCAACACTGCATTTTTGTGTAGAAAACTGAATTTTTATTGACGTGTGTGCTCTCGCGTGGAATGGGGATATTTCGCACTTTCCTCTTGTGGTAAGTTGAGTAGATGCTCTTATCAAAGAAAAATGATCTGGCTTTGATAGCGCGGAAGCCAAGCTTCAAGTGCTTTTCTGGTGAAAGGTATTCACGAGTGAGCAATCGAATATAAATCAATCAAATTCAGGAATGGGGACATTTTGCATTTTCCTCCTGTGGCAAGTTGAGTAGGTACTCGTATCAAAGACAATCTGTTAATGGCGGTAAAGCCAAGCTTTAAGTACTTTTCTGGTGAAAGATATTCATGAATGAGTTATCGAATAGAAATTAATCAAATTCAGATGAATAAGTTTCCTACACATAGAATGAGTTCACGTGAACAACAATTTTCAGGTTTCATACCCAAACGATTATACAAGAAGGCCGGGTTAAGGGCGTTGACAAGTTTTCGTAATAGATATCACTCTCTAACCATTTTGCTTTCAGCTTTCAGCCTGGAGTGTTCCCTTCAAATAAGGCAACCTGAAGAGAGAGGACCCTGGGAATGAGGTTGCAAGTAAGGAAGTCTGTCTGTCGGCTATGCGGCTCTGACGACATAAAATGTGCCGATTTGGATTTCTCTGTTTCTTATAACGTCGGACGATGGCCGCAAAACGTTTGGAAAAGTCCAGAACAATGGAATGTTTAAGCGAACTAATACTACATAGCTTCTTAAAAACTAAAGAGGTAATTGCAGTGAAAAATTTGGGGTGTACAATTTTCAAAACACGGCTTTCATGGTAACGTCAGAAACTACCATGACAGATGAATGAACTGCAACTGTTGGCTCAACGCTATTAATTTTCAAACCGGGAAGGAAAACAGAACTTTAACAGGTTATGAGTTTTGTAATATTTAAGTCCGAAAAGCTAGCTGCCAAACTTTGCCACGTTATCTGAAATTCATGAGAAGCATTTTGGTGTAGGACAACGCGATGTTTCTATGGCAACCTTATCCAGTGGCTTGTATTTTTTCGCGATCTTTCATTCTGTTATTTTTACCGTTTCAGTAAATTTTAGTACCCTGAAAAAAGCTTGGAATGTTTAACCAGTGTAAGGGTTTGCCGGGAACTGAGGAACCTGTAGTTTGACACATGAAAAGTTGACTATTTTGAACAATTCCATGTGAACAATTAGTTTTAAACTACATTTGTTTGGTCAAACGTCAATTGCTTACAGTAGATGCTCATTTAACACTTGCTCATGAATAATTTTCTTTAAAAAATATAGGGTAGGATTTCCTCTGACCATCGCCAAAAATACCTGAATCATGATCCGTGGACTGGCTCTGATCTGAGATAATTACTGTATTAAAAGCTAGCTGTCAGTGGTACCGCACTAAGTATACCGTCATTACATTAAATTCAGCCTGAAATATCTTTCAGGTTTTCCAATCATGGTTTTTAAATAACCGCAAAGTCAATTCCTCAATTAACAACCCCGCAACCCCCGGAAAGTAAAGACAATGGAATGTGAAAATATCATCGACCTTCAGCTGGCAGTGGACATATTAAACTACAACAAGCTGTACAAAATGGTGTGATGTTTGTTTTAGCGGATCCTCATTCTAAAAACTATTTTTGACCTGTTGCGTAGCAACCGGGTTGACGTGTGCCACACATGATTTATTTCATCTGGTAATTGCTATTATTTATTTTTGGAAAACGCAGGCTTTCGTCGCATTTTCATTTTAATTCTTCTTTTTACCACCAATGTCTAGCCGGACAAATTGATTAAAAAAACAAACAAACAAAGCAAAGATGAGGTGTTTCTGTGTCGCACCTTTCAGTTTATCTGATTGGTTAGAATCTTGCGGAATTCTAAAAATCTTTCCCAACCTTATTGTATTTTGGATGGTATGTAGTAGTAATAATCAGCTGTTGACCCTGGGACTAAATTGCTGAATTGGTTAATTGTATTGAAGGATCCAATTGCATTTGGAACACTTACGAGCGATGCTGTACATGTGCAATAGTATATGATGTTTTATTTATTTATTTATTTATTTATTTATTTATTTTTACAGGAATGAGATATTTGATCTAAATACGTTCATCTGCTTATCAGTGGCGTTCATATGGCTACCAGCAAGGGACTGTACATTCCGTTGAAGCCCATTTTCCGAACCCGGATTTGAGTTTAAACAAATCTCTACAACCCTGAGTGAAATGGCGCGCAGTTGTTTTCTGCGAGGTCACTGGAAAATGTTTCTCATTCGGCCCTTACTTGTGAGAGAGGTAAAACGTAGCAATGAGCTTTTATATCTTCTGTCATCAAATCTTTCTTTAGCGTTAAAATTATTACTGTGGCGTGCCCTTTGCGACAACTTTGACATCAAATGGCAATCAAATCTATCGAAGTCCATCCATCGTTTAAAATTAAATTATCTCTGACAATTTTAGCAAAGAAGCAAATTCGAATAAAGACAATATTATGTTTGTTTGTCTGGTTTGCGCCATGACTGGTTAAGTAAACAATTTTGACAGGCCAATAATCAGTTTATAACACACAGGAAATGGTGATAGGTTCATTGATGCCATCGCTAAGTTGCCTCTCCCTGTGATTACCCATTGAAAGTGGTTAAATAACAGCAATTACGTAAACTGTTACTTGTTCCATTCATAAAATTGATACACATGTATATGACTTCTTAAAAAAAGAAAACTCTACTGACCTTGCTGTTGTTTCATAAGTCGGTTGAACATAGGTCGGTTTCTCGTGCAGCAGTTGAGTCGAGAAAGGCACACCATGAAGTACTGCCCTTTAATACCTCCGCAGTGCTAATCTTTAAAGCCCCGCTACTATATACATCGCTCCACGAGAAACTTCTTTTCCTTCGCGCCACTATTCTACTTTCGTTCTTATCAGAAGTCGTTGTTTCAGAGCGTAAAGTTGCAGGCATTTGACTTTCGAGGCATTCCTTGCTTTCTTGTCGGTCGTGCATCGAATCTTGTGTCGTGTCCAGCTGTAGCCGTATTGTGATTGGACTGAGTGTTAAGTGTGACTCTTTGTTCACCTCCTCGGGCGTCTGAATACAAATTTTGGGGATAATGAACTCGTGTTGTCTAGCTGATGAACCTTCAGTCTGTTTGGGGTTCTGTTTGCTACTTAACTCATGGCCGTTGGTATTCGGGTTGAACGTATTGTTTTGAACGTTGTTTGTCCGCAAACTGCCGCATTTTGGATCACTTTGCTTGTGACGTGTTTTTGCTCCAAACACGATCTTGATGAGACTTTGCGTTTCCTTTTCTTTCTTTGAGACTTTAGGTAACGTGAAAGACCTAGTTCTCCGCAAATTTCCCACGTTTTCGCCAACAGAAGAACATTTGTCGAAGTTGCGGAATACATGAGGAATGCTCTCAGTTGACCTCCCCATCTGCTGTTCCACAGAAATCTCTTTCAGACATATACAGCCATCTTTTCTTTCACGAGGTCTTTGCCCTTCTCTCTCCCTTTGCATGCTGACAAATATCTCACGATGGAATCGCCCACAGAGCCAGTAATAAACTTGTCACCTTGTTGCAGGCATGCGAGACAGTAAAGGAAGCCGGGCAATGAAATATAAGTCACACTGTCAAAGTCACGCCAATAATAAGGCTTGTTGCAGCGCATGTGATAGATAATCCTTATTTTCCTGAATGAAAACAATCGACTTTCTGACCGCTTTCGTCCTACCGACGGGTCATAAAAACGTGGGCACCGGAATGCTTAAGTTAAGTCGACGAGTTGTGGTAACACGGCATCGGGTGGAAGAAAAAGCGGGCACATATCTTTCATCTGTTTCTTATTTGTTCTGTTAAAACTGGCGCCGCAACGCAATAGATACACCGAACTGACCAACATGATGTTAGAGTGGAACGGGAACCTCAAATAGTGTAGCACCTAACTCTAATAATAATGATAATAATAATATTGTCAGTCACTTTGCTTAACCTGAAGTCGATCCTTGTAAAGGGTGGAATAGGGAAAACTATCGTCCCAACACTTTTGTCGCGTAGTCGGGTTATCAGTAGCAAGTATGCACTTATCACATTGTCACTGTAATCTATAACACAATCTTTTCCATTATACTTTAATATGAGCAAAGAAGGAGAGACAAGAAATAGGTGTTACTGTACTGGGAGCGGTCTTTAGTATACTTGGATGAACCAAACCCACTAGGGCCAAACTGGCCCTCACTCGTAGGTCCTGCTTGTCCCAGTTTAAACCCATAGCATGACGCAACTAAAGTATCTGGCGCGGAAACTTTCCCATCGTTCAGTTTGAGAGGGAAAGGGTCGATTGTAAGTACTTGAATGACAGATTTGAAGCATTACCAGACAGTAATTCTAATTGAAACACTGGAATTTGGTTGATATACAACTTGTACGCGAACCAACAATATGAGCATAACTGTTATTGGCTGACGAAAAATAGCGCTTCAGTAAGTCCAACGGCGTCTTGTGGTTATGCTTAACAAGCCTATAACCACTCTTTTGATTAAGTCAGCGCGGTGCGTGTTATCCAGCCTTGTACATGTAATATACCATTTTCTTTCGGTAACCTCAGAGCAATGAACAAACATGGCAACATTAAATGCGATGCACGTCACTTCCTATACCACTCCTTGTCTATCGTGATATTCCGGCTACTTAAATGAAACGTCTTAATTTACAGGTCGATGACATTTAGAACATCTCGTATCCGAAGGTTGCTATGGCCGGCCGAAGTTTTTGCTATACTGGACAATATGTCGTGTAGGATCAATTGTGCGAAACATCTTTAACTAGTAGTTACTTACCTTATTGTTTCTTATTTTCGCGGGAACTTAATTTGTCGAAAATGGAGCAACACATTTCTTAGGAATTAAATTTCGCGATTTGCCCAAAAAATTAGGTTAACAGGAACTAAATTTCGCTAAAATTATCAAAATTCTGATCTTCATTATGGCAAACGGTCTCAGAATAGGCAGAATTGATTTAATCTTCCAAAGCAATAGTTTTCAATGACACTGTACAAAACCATATAAAATAACAAAACGAAACTTGAAACGGTTTCACATGCTTTTTTTTTGGCAGCAAAACAGAGAAAAGACAGTGTCATGTACACCATCTATTTGAGCTTACAGCTGAAAGACATTGTCAATTTCTTGAAATGGATCCTCGAGCGGAAGAGTTGACTCACCCTTTACTACCCCAGCAACACTTGCTTTCTCCCCTCTTGGCAAAGTAATACGTCGATTAACAAATCATACAACAAAGTATTAAATTTTGCGTTGTTAATTTTCGCCAAAGCGTTTTTCCCCTGGTCTCTCAAAATCGCGAAAACTAATAAGTCCCGCCAAAATAAATAACAATAAGGTATCTTTTGCCTGATAAGATCTCTACCGGTAGATGCGTCATCCAACTTTGGTGTTCTAACCACTTTCATCTGGTATTGTAGATCAAACTACATTGCTGTCTGCCCAGCACTCTCCTCATAAGTTTATATTGTTGTCTGATCACTCTGCAGCGAAAAGTAACAAAATGATTTCTAACGTTGTGTAAATAAGAAACCAGTCGTATAGAAGGAGCATCTCGTTTTTTTTATTCAACATAAACGGTCCTATTTGAATGATAAAGCACAGTTTTAGAAATATTAATATAACAAAATGAAAATTGAACGGAAGACAGTCGCGGGCCGTCCAGTGCCTGATCGAGTCGTGCTTACGCCCAGTGGCACATACAGCAGCTATCGAATGCCAACAGACTACTACTAAGAGAACTACTAGTAGCCACGAAAAAGCTCAGTGGCAACCATGCAGGGTAAAACATGTGCGCAAGTGCCCAGCGGCAAAACAATAAACGCACAGGGCCAAGTGGCAAACACTTCAATATTCAAACGGGAATAAAGCCACAGATACAACAAATATAGTGAATTAAATTAGCTCCATTAATACATAAGAAGTATGGACGAACAAAATTCATCAGAACCAAAAATGTCCTGAACTTAAAGTACACAAAATAAACACTTACTGTTAGACGAAAAGGAAGAGATACAGCAGAAGCAGAAGATCCGGGGGTTCTTTTGAAGCTTGAAAATCTCGGTATCTCCGAGCGTTTGCTATTGAAAACCTTCAGCCGTGAGGTTTGACCGGGGGTTTGACAGACTTTTGTTTGATCTTAGAAAGTATACATGTCACTCAGCGGTATAAAGCTTCTTCTCGTCTTCGGAATCGCCCGTGAGCTCACCAAACTCATCATACTCTTCAACTGCAGCCCAACCATAGAGCAGGGTTTTGTCTGCAAAGCGAATCAACTTAGTGCACTTCTCGACGACAGACTTGGCCTTTTGGAGTTGCTCTTAAACCGCCAGAAGGTTTCGCACGGACACGCTCGGACAGATTAGAGATCAAGACAGTCAAGGAGCTGAGAATTAAACTCCAACTGGTTTCTGTTACCTTTAAGTTGTAGTGAACTGGTTGCCTTAGAGTCTGTTTCAATTTCTTTAGTTCGCCGGCGCATATTGTCGACTTCTCGTTCGTCTAATCACAACGAGAGTTTGAAATGACCAGATGCCTTCTGCAGCTTCATATCAAGGGGGATGGGGGAAAGAGAAATCAGCGAGTTGCTCCAGAATTGGAAACGTCTACCGACTGAGCGGAATGAAGCAGTCTCTAGCGGTGGATCAGGCATAGCACGAAATTTACTAATTTAGATTTAGTCAAGCTTAAAAGTGGAGCTCCTGATGACAACATGTTAACCTGGCTTGAGCCTGCGATCCAAACTATTACCCGGATAATGACCGCCGGCCGCCATGTCGCCACGTCGTCGTCGTCGTCGTCGTAGGGCGCACGCGCCTGCCATCCATGCCGCTGGCAATGTCGCCCATGGAAAAAGAGATATATTATTTTCTATTTCTATGAATGCATGTAGTTCTGTTCCTATAGTTGTGGCGATCCGCTTGGCGGCTCTTCGGACCGCCGGACCTTCCATACAAGTGGGTTCCAGGATATGAATTGCTGTACCCTGGTCCCAGAGGTTTTTCTTTTATATAACAAAGAAAAAAAAAAAACATAAACGATATTACAAAATAATAATATTAACAATAATTGTAATAATCACATTAATAAAAAACATCTTAGTACATAACAAGGCAGTGAGGAAGACTAGAAGGGAACTGACGAACCATACGTGCTAGTCAATCCATTATGAAAATAAAATGTATGAATATATAAAAGCTTAATCATTTAACAAGCAATTTATTAACTATGTACTAACTACCTAACTATAACTCGCTAAATAAAAATCTAACTAACTGACTGGCTAAGTAACATCCTTACTAACTAACTGCTGATGTTAGCCAAGGTGGTATAGGGGTGCTCAGGGTCGAAAACCTTATCTTTATAAAAAATAGTACATAATCTCTTAAAGGAAGAAACACTAGAGTTGGCAGTCCTCAATTCATCGGGCAAATTGTTCCATAAATACGGAATCCTGTTAAAAAAAGGGTTCCCTTACAAAGTTCCGTCCTGACTCTAGTAATTTTCAGCTTATTACTAGTGTGTGATCTTAATCTCTCATCAGAACAAAATTGAAAATACGAATTAAATGAAGAGTTAAAATGCCCGTTCTTCATTTTATAAAAGGTTGAGAGGTCCTTGACTTCTCTGCGGTAAACCAGTGGTAGCAGGTTGAGACGTTTTAAGCGCTCATTATACGGCTAAAATCGGGTAACATAAGCCGAATCGCACGTCGTTGTACCCCTTCTATTCTTTTTATCATAGTAACTGAGTTTGGGCTCCAGATTTCAGAGGCGTACTCGAGATGAGAACGTACGAGAGACACATAAAGGGAGCTCAGAGTTGGTAATAAAATTTTGCTCCCGCTGATAGTGCGACGGATGAAACCTAGCATTTTGTTAACCTTATTCACCTGGGCGTGCATGTGATCACTGAAGCTGGCTGTACCTGACATAAGTACCCCAAGATCGCGCTGGGCTCCCACCCTGCTGGACTAGGTCTAGATCGTAACTAGTGGAAATACCTCCAGAAAGTAACTGCTTCGGAAACCAACATAATGCCCGGCATTATTCTTCTAGACCATGCCAGGCCGAAAACCAATGGTTGCGTAAGTAAAAAGTTAGCATAAGGCGAAGTAATCTACCCAAGTAGCTTTCAGCATCCAGGTGTGACGATTTCTACATCCCACTGGATGGGATGCTGGTCCATCGCCTTACCCCTGCCCAGCATTAAATTTGCCGGCACCTATCGTTTATACTCTGGATGAGTGGCACTGTGAGAGTAGAGTGTCTTGATCCGGAGTTCAGGCTGTCTAGCGCATTAACAAAAAGGCCGTTGCGGTGAAGCCTATGCTTTATTTAGTTCTGTTGTCATAACAGATCACAATTGGGGCACAAAATTAAAGAACTACGAAACGTCACTAGTGAGATCAAAAGGCGGTTTGGCCTCGAAAGAACAAGACCTGACTTACCAATTGACCAGAATTGTAAATATTCATTTTTGCATTTTAGTCTTCTTTAATGTCCCCGATATTAGTCCGCTAGGTTCTTATTTTTATTCTTATTATTCTTGACTGGAATAAACTGTGCCGAACAATAATTACTGGTTACACCTGCAATGGAATTCCGGTCAAGTTTGACAGTTCACCGCTCTAAATAGAGAGGCGCGGTGACCTCGTGGCATGGTTAGTGCTCTCGTCTCCGGATAGAGCGGCTCGGGTACGAGCCCCGTCCGAGAATTGTGTTGTGTCAGGAGCCATGATCGGGGACGGAGACCGCAGGTCTCGGGATTCGCGCGCACCTATGATATGGGACAATTTTTCTATTTTTAGAACAAATTGCGCCATCCTG